AATGCAATGTAATTTGTAAGGGATCGTGCTGCTGAGTAATTTACCAGGGATCGTGGCTTCGGGGGCGCGAACGTGGCGTAATTTACCAGGAATCGTGGCCTCGGGGGCGCAAGTTTGGTGTAAGTTACGAGGCATCGTGGCGCCAGCGGCGCGAATGTAGTGTAATTTACGGAAGATATTTGCCTCGGGGGCGCAAGCATGGCGTATTTTACGCGGGATCGTGGCTTCGGGGACGCGAACACGATGCAATTTACAAGGGATCGTCGCTTCGGGGGCGCTAGATATAGAGTAATGCACTATGGATTGTTGCGTCCGAAGTGCGAATTTCACATATTTTTGTTTGTCCCACGGCCCCGCAGGAATTCAGACAACGCGACTTGGGAGTGGTAACCGGGCCCTGTTCGGCTCCCCCCCCTCGCGCGGATTTCAAGAATTGACTGTAGGAAGCAGCAGAAAGCAGGATTGTAACATTGGAGACTGGAAACTGGAACTGGCGCAGGGAGCAGCAAGCCTAAGCCTCGCAGCCTGATGGCCACGCAAGGGGGCTGGCGGATAGGTAGCAACATCCCTTGACGCTTGGGAGGAGAGAGCATGCAAGATGGCAAAAGAGATGGCAACATACTGACAGTCAGCGGAGGTGATTCCGCGGTGGGAGGTCGGGTGCGACAATTCTGTTGTAGATGCCCGTTCATAGAACCTTCGCAGCTGAAACCATGCTGCACCGCAGTCACCATCACAAACGCCCAAGCTGCTGTGTCGTCGCATCCCTCACGCAATGACCCGTCCATTAAATAGACTCTGGTCGCTTGCGCGGGTAACTGCAAAACATATGCGGGCATTGACATAGCACTCAGAATGCAACCATCGGCACACCCTTGAGCCTTTGAAAAAGGCGCAGGGCAGCCGAGAGAGGGGTAGCAAGGCACTGGGCAGTGGAGTCAGCCTGTGCAAGTTCGGCCCTCTGCTCTGTTATTGGTCTGGCAGATTGTACTGTTGTGTGCGAGAGGGGATCAAGGCAACACTTTTTCAAGTACCGCTCTACCGGTTGCGTGGTAGAAGTCTGGCTCAGCTACGCGGGTCTTGAACTAAAAAGCTGTGGTCGCAGCAACAGCTATCCACCACCTACCCCAGCCACTGCTCCATAGGCTATGCCATGCAAGTATCTGTAAAGAGATGGGGCTGTGTTCGCCCAACTCGCATTGATGGATTGCCGGCTATCCCCACTCCGATCTCGGAAAGCCACCGCAAGCCATGAGTTGAGCAAGGCATCCTCGTTGATGCCTTTGAGGGCCCTCTTAATTGGGCTCACTAGCGCTGGGTGGTGACCCAGCACTAGCCAGCAAAAACTCTTTTGCTTGACCCTGGAGCCGTTGGTGTCGTAACGCCTCTGGCCCTGCAGGGCGGCTGCTCTGACCGCCTGCAGCGTGAAGCTACTTGCAAAGTTTGCCTTCAAACGCTCTAAGACGTCGTGCACAGAAGCTTGGAAGAGGTCTGGATTGCTACAGAGCTTGTTTACTCGGTTCACGTAAGCCTTCGGCCACGAGGCATGGATCGGAAAACGGTGCGAGCTATTCGTCCCCAGCGGGGCGCCAAAGCGGTGGGCTTGAGAAAATGTGAAACATCGAATCTCCCATCTCCTTTCTAGATGGAAACTTCTAGGAAACCAACATCCCACATCGACCACTCTAACGTCAAAGGATAGAAGACAGCTCTGGCCCGCATTCGATCATAGAACTGTTTGGTCCTGGACGCTAGGCCTTGACCGAGAAGCAAAATGTCGTCACGGAATCTGAAATACCCCCTGATGCCGTGATCATCTAAAATGCTAGGGAGGAGGAGGTGCTGCTCCACGAGACCTAAGAAAGTGCAGTCTGCGAGCTCCCCGCTATGGGGGAGCCCCATCCCTGAACCAGAAATCACCTGGTAGACCCTGTCTGGCGAATCGTCCCAAGGATCCCGTACGAATTGGCACCGCCATAGAAAACGAATGACCTTCTCAAGGGTACTGTAGATGGTGTCGCGGACATCGAACAAGAACATGACGCACGACACGATCTGGTCTTCCGTACCGTTGAGGTAAAAATCTTTCACATCAATCTTGCAAAAGTGCCACGTGCGGTCAGGGTGCTAATTTTGCAGCCTGCGGATCAGATCAGAAGAATCACGGAGGAGATGGGGCGCACGCTCGTCGAGCTTGTCCCGAAGAACTGAGACGATCCACGCGCTGAGCCCGCTGAAAATGTACGTGGGCGTCGCGTGTACTGGTCGGCATGATACTTCCCCTTCTGATTTGTGATCCTTCGCGGTGAGCTGCAGACGGCTGAAGAACGTCGCGTTCGAAAAGAAAACGGTCCTGAACATCCGTCGGCCAGCGTGCGGCTGCCCGATGACGCCGGCAACCTCGGAACACAATTTCTTATATGTCTCTATGGTGCTATTCAGGAGGCCATGCGGGCTGATGCATATGCACATGTTAGAGTCAAGTATCCTGGCCGACATCCCTGGGAGGTCGGACTTGCGAACAAGAGAATACCTGCTGTTCTTGTCGTTCGGAAGGCAAACGCACTCGCTACTCCTGAGGGTCCTCAAGGCAAGCCTTTCGAGCGCCGTAGAGTTGGAATAACTTCGATCACCAAACCTATGTGCTGACCGGCTCTTCCGAACGGCATCGAGAAGCCTCTTTTTCACAGAAGTAAGCCACCGATCCAACATCTTCCACTCATAGTTCGCGCCTATGCTGTGCTCAGGGCAAAAGGGGGCGACTCGAGAAGAGCGAGGTAGAATGAAATCAACAGCCTCTGGAGGGTACTGCTGGTAATACCACCGCCATTTGATCCTATTCGTGAAATCAGTGACTTTCAAACGGACGCGTTCCATCGATGGCAACCCACGTGATTGGAAAATGTGCTTCCTGTGTCGGCGCAAAATCAACCATTTAACGGGCCATGGGATCGCACTGTCATCAACCATAGACTTCGTAAGGGGATCGTATCTTTTGACGCGGTGCTGATTTTCCTTCCAGTTGAGGATTGTGAGCAGGTCTCCAAAGTCCAGGCCCTCCGTGAGCCTGGTCATCCAGCGCATTGGCGCTGCAGACTGCTTCATTTCTTTGTGCCTTTGCCGCCACGTTTTTTGCCTAAGCCTTTTCTTGTGTTGTCGCCCTTGGCCGTGTCCTTCCCTTTTCCTTTGCCACGTCCCTTGGGGAAACTTTTTGTCTTCCAATTGCGTGACTCTTCGCCCTTGGCTGTGTCCTTCCCCTTTCCAGCACCAGCTCCTTTGGGAAAAACATTGTTATTGCCCTTGCGCCTGCCGTCTTTCTCATATTTTTTGTTTGTCCCACGGCCCCGCAGGAATTCAGACAACGCGACTCGGCAGTGGTAACCGGGCCCTGTTCGGCCCCCCCCCCTCGCGCGGATTTCAAGAATTGATTGTAGGAAGCAGCAGAAAGCAGGATTGTAACATTGGAGACTGGAAACTGGAACTGGCGCAGGGAGCAGCAAGCCTAAGCCTCGCAGCCTGATGGCCACGCAAGGGGGCTGGCGGATAGGTAGCAACATCCCTTGACGCTTGGGAGGAGAGAGCATGCAAGATGGCAAAAGAGATGGCAACATACTGACAGTCGGCGGAGGTGATTCCGCGGTGGGAGGTCGGGTGCGACAATTCTGTTGCAGATGCCCGTTCATAGAACCTTCGCAGCTGAAACCATGCTGCACCGCAGTCACCATCACAAACGCCCAAGCTGCTGTGTCGTCGCATCCCTCACGCAATGACCTGGCCATTAAATAGACTCTGGTCGCTTGCGCGGGTAACTGCAAAACATATGCGGGCATTGACATAGCACTCAGAATGCAACCATCGGCACACCCTTGAGCCTTTGAAAAAGGCGCAGGGCAGCCGAGAGAGGGGTAGCAAGGCACTGGGCAGTGGAGTCAGCCTGTGCAAGTTCGGCCCTCTGCTCTGTTATTGGTCTGGCAGATTCAGACTGTCGTTCCAAGATGGACCGAGGGGTGCAGGCCGCCGACGAGCACGCTTCCAAACCAGGGTGGGCACGGGGCGAGACGGCCAAACAGTCGCGCATCTCCTGTGCGCCGGGTTGGGGAGTCACGACGGAGCCAGCCCAACCACCATTTCGCTCGACCGAATTAGCATCGACATCGTCGGTTGCGCGGTGCATCATTGAAGGCTCGCTGGCCTCTCCCACGTCGGGCCATCTGCCCGCACTGGAGTTCAAAACGCAGTCCCTAGTGGCGTTCCCATGATGGCTGGGCCCAGAGGACCACGGGAACGAGGAAGCAAACCCACCAGGACTTTGGGATTAGCAGAGCGTTGCTTCGGGGTGACCAATGGACTGTTCCAGTTCGTCTGGTACTGCGCGGCCGTCACAGCCACGGTCGTGCGAAGGGGCAGGGGAGCAGAACAGGAATGCATCGATCTTTGCCAGAGCTACCCTCTCTTCAAAATCGCCATGCTGAAACCGAACCCCCTTGACACTTTGCGCACCTCGGGGCCCAGAGTAGCGGGGGTCGGAGGGAGGAACAGGCGAGGGCCCCAGCACACGCACACAGGCAGGTAGCGCATGGGTGTCGAGGGGCTGGGTGGCGATGTGCACGGAGCCGTGCCTATCGCCGTCTGCTGTAGTAGCCAGGAGGTTTTCACCCACATTTCCACCAGCCAAAACCCGCGGCTGGCTGGTTCCCCAGAGGGGGGGGGAATAGTATTAGTTGAGGTATCAGCGGCAGCACAGATTGGTGCAGAGGCATTCACTCCTACACTTCGTGGTCGAACCGCTTGCACTCCTGCTGCTGACTCTTGTGGGGCGGGCTCTCGCATGTGATGAAGCGAGCTCCCCGCTCCCTGCCCTCTTCCTTCGGCGGGCCTGGGATCTGCGCGTCCATCGAGGTCCCCTGCATCATGTTCTCCCTATGCGCTCTCGCTTGGATCTCCTCGATCGCTGCCTCCACTTGAGATAGCGAGGGTAGAGGCGACGAGGGTGGCGGGGCTCAGGGCGCCGTGACCGAGAGCGCTGGACCTGGCATGGCCTCCTGGGTGGCCATGGCTCCGTTCTCCACTGGCATCGACGGCTCGAGGGACATCGGGCCAGGCATCCGCGGTGAAGTTGGGATTACCCCCGCTGCTGCACGAGTCGGCGACGACGGCATCCCAAGCTGACTTACCACGATGGGCCTGGCCAACTGCTGGATGGCCTGGGCATGGTCGGGCGGCGGCAACGAGTGATCCGCTCTCGGCGTCACCTGCACGACCTTGGGCCCGTCCGCCGCACTGCTCTGAGCTTGTGTAGGCCCAGGAGCTACCCCAGGATCCGCGGACGCAGCTGCAGAAGTTGCTGACGGCGTCATCGCCGCCGCCCTCGTCTGAGTCACGTTCATGGCCGCGCGCACCTCCTGGGGTAGTTGCGTGGCCATCATCTGCGCCATGTCGCCCCCGAGCTGGGAGGCCGTCATTAGCTTCATCATGTGCATGAATTGCTGCTGCATCTTCTGCTGCTGCTCCATCATGAAGTCGATGCGCCTCGCCTGCTCGACTGCTAGCTTCAACTGGAATGCCTGGGACTAGGCCAGCGCGTCGATCGCCTGTGACACTGGGCGCACGCTGTCAGTCGCCTGCAGTGGTAGATCTCCGCGGTCATGGTTGCCAGTTCCTGCTGCCACTTGCCGGCTGCTTTGCCCTGTGCGAGCGCCACGGCCATCTGCTGGGCCTGGTGGGAGAACGGCCAGGCTGGCGGTCCGCCAGCTCGGACGGCGCGTGGGGCGCAGTTGGTTGCGGCGGCGGCGGCCCAGACTGCGGCGGCAACGGGGGCGCTGCCGTTGCCGCCGCTCCACCTGCAGGCACCCATGGCCGCGCCTGCCCATAGCCGTGTCGCCCGCCTCCAACTGGGCGATGGTGGACTCGAGCTGGTCGATCTCCATCCTGGCCTTGGTCTCCTCCTCGCGCATGGCCTCCATGCGCGTCTGGATGTCATTGAGTTTCTCTGTTGTCTTGATGGGTACCAGGCGCGCGATGGAGATCTACTTCTCCGTTCCCCCCCAGCGTCGTGAGCGTGTCTTGATCCATGCAACATCCTTCTCTGCATCTGCATCCTCCTTGCAAATTTTGGCCATGACCTTGATGACCTGCGCGAGCTGGTGCATACGCTGCTTAAGGTCGCTCCTCCAGACCATCACCATGTTTTCGTCCACTGGCATCGGGTTGTTGGTGTGTGTGTGTGTGCTGGAAGACGTGGCACATGTCTGGCGTCATAATAGGGATGCGCTTAACTATCCTCTCCCCGTCGGGGTCGTTGGTCCTCTCGCTACGATCTCGTCGGCATCGATTATCACTGTCGCTGCGTGGTCGATCCTGTCGACCTCCACCCCGCCTCACTGGGCGTTTCTCTCCACACTGGGGCTGCGGATTCATGTCGTAGCTCTATCTCCCGCACTTGCAGGTCCATGAGTCAGAGGGCGGATCACGGGGCATCTGTCGGCTATCCACGGCAGCAGCTAGCGAGACCAAAAGCCGCGCTCGATGCCTCTTGAGGCGATGGCGTCTGTGCCAGGCAGGCTCACGCTCTCGGCGTCGCCGAGAAAAATTGGGCGTGGTCGGCATTTGAGGTTCAATACCAAAACCAACGCTCTTGGGGTCGAACTCTCTCCTCTCAAGGGGTCAATACCTCTCCTCCTCCTCCTCCTCCTCCTCCTTCTCCTCCTCCTCCTCCTCCTCCTCCTCCTCCTCCTCCTCCTCCTCCTCCTCCTCCTCTTGCTCCCCCTCTGGGCCTTCTCGCCACGGCCGGATCCGGCTCGGAATCTTTGACGAAACGTGCTCCAGGAGGGGCCTGGCGAGTTCAGGTGGTTTTCAAATGTTTCCCACAGGATCATGTTTCCAGAGGCCTCGGGAGGCCTCCAGAGGTAGAGGACGAGGAAGGGGGATGGGGGGGGTGTTCTTCCGTGCCAGTTAGTCTTGATTGGGATGGTAGGGGAAGTGGGTGGGTGCCCCGCAGGCATGGGGCGCGTTCGGGGCCGGAGTCCTCGCGCGAACTTCAATCATAACAACATTGGAATGTAGGAAACATACGTTGGGAGCTGGTGCTGTGGCAGGGAACAGGACCCAGCCGACGCAGCCTGTTGGCCACGGAGGGGCGGGCGCATTTTGTGGTGTTTTGTCAGGGCCCCACCACTGAATGCATGAATCGGCTTTGGTACCGATCGGTCGCGGGTGCCCCGCAGGCATGGGGGAGTCGGGCGATGAGGAGGTGCAGGCCGTGGAGAAGCCCGTGGAGGTGGCGGGCGATGGCGAGGGCGAGACGGCGGAGGAGAAGCCCGCGAAGAAGCGGCGGAGCCGGTGGGGGCAGGAGCCGCGGACGATCTGTATGCACCGTGCCGCGTTGGCGTCTCCCGAAGCGTCGTCGATCTTCGGCCCAGAATGGTACGGTGCATAGTTTTTCGGCCCTCAGAGCCGAAAGACCATGCACCGTACCAGGCTGGAGCGAGGGCTGAAGGGAGTCAAAACACTGACCGTATGGTGCATGAGCGCCGTCCTCGTACAGGAGCCCGAGCCCGCGCCGATGCCCGACGTCCTCGCGTTGGCGCCGCTGCCGTCGGGGGTCAACCCCGTCACGGGCATGGTCGGAGTCACGCAGCTGCCCGCCCCGGGGGAGAGCTCTGCATCGGCGCCAGGATCGGATGCTCGGGGGCGGCCACGAGGGGGGGATTACTAGGGGGGGGTGGATATCATGGCCGGGGCCATGAAGTTTCTCCAGAGGTTGTGGCCCCCTCTTCTGATTCGTAGAATTATTATGAGTAGTATGATTGTTCTTGTTATGAATATTATTGTTCTCATCGTTCTCATTATTCGTCTGATTATTGTTATTATTATCATTATTATTTTTAATATTATTATTAGTGTTATTATTATTAGTAGTATTATTATTATGTTTAGTATTACTGTTATGTTTATTGTTTTCCGTATTCCTTTTCCCATTATTAGTATTACTATTATTATTATTCCAGTGCGTCCCTTGGTTCCCCCCTCGTCCGCGCACATGCCTCGGGTCATGATTCGCGAGCCCCCCTCCCGGACGCCCCCGAGCTACACGCAACGGGGTCCTTCGGTGGAGTGACCTTTGGTGCAGGGCTCCCGGGGCCGCGGGAGGGCCAAGCCCAGGCACACAGGCCGCCACCGTCGCATCACGCGCGGCGACCGGCAGGCCGCGCACCAGAAGTCACTCCTGCCTGGGGTCACTCTCGCATGCAGCCGACCAGGATACGCTGCGGCGGGCGGCGCCAACATGGACCTCTCCGCCGCTGCGCAGGCGGCACGCGAGGCGCTCGAGAAGGCCAAGAGGGCCGCCATGTTCCAGCGGCAGATCCAGGAGCAGATGAACAAGCTGAAGAGCCAGGGCTTGGCCGCCGGCTTCCTGCCCGGGGAGGGCCCGAAGGCACGGAAGTTGATACTGGACGAGTTCGGCCGCGAGCTGGACGACGACGGCAACGTTGTGCCGATGAAGCCGCAGGTAGTCAGCACCTTGAAGGTGAACATCAATCGCGAGAAGGAGGCGCGCCTCCAGAAGATCCTGGGGCTCAAGAAGGAGGGCGGGAGCGAGAAGGACTTCTTCGATCCAACGCTGAAGGTGCAGCAGCGATTCGAGCGGCAGAAGCGGAAGACCTTCAGGTTCATTGACGAGGGCGCACTCGTTCAAAAGGAGCAGCGATTGGTGAAGAAGATGCAGGAGAAGGTATTGGGCGTGGACAAGAAGGAGGACAAGAAGAAGAAAGAGGAAAAGAAAGAGGAGAAGAAGAAAGAGGAGGCTGAGCCCGAACCGATCATCAAGAAGATCGAACCCAAGGTCATGAGGCGCGAGCCGATCCCAGACGTGGAGTGGTGGGACATGCCCTTCTTGAAGGAGGACATGAACGGCCAGAAGAGGGCGTACACGGAGGTGAACGTCGAGAAGATCACGCCATACGTGGAGCACCCGATACCTATCAAGATCACCACCGAGAAGGAGGCGCCAGAGGCGGTGATGATGCACTTGACGCCCAAGGAGCGCAAAAAGCTGCGGCGCCTGAAGCGGCAGGAGCGCACACAGGAGATCCGAGACAAGATCAAGATGGGCATTCTGCAGCCGCCGCCCCCCAAGGTGAAGATGAGCAATTTGATGCGAGTCCTCGGCGACGAGGCCATCGCGGACCCCTCCACCATCGAGAGGAAGGTAAGGCAGCAGGTAGAGCAGCGGCGCAGAGAGCACGAGCAGCGCAACGAGGCCCGCAAGTTGCCGGCCGAGGAGCGCAAGGCCAAGAAGAAGCAGAAGTGGATGGCCGAGACGGAGCCGACCACGCAGGTCCTGGTGTTCAAGATCAAGGACCTCGCGAACAAGAGGCACCTGTTCAAGATAGACATGAACGCTCAGCAGTTTCACCTCACGGGCTGCTGCGTCGCGTGCCCAGGCGTGGCGAACATCGTGATCGCCGAGGGCGGGCCCAGGGCCATCAAGCGATACAAAAAGCTCATGGTCAGGCGCATCAAGTGGACGGAAGACCAGAAAGACGACGACGATGACGAGGATGAGGACGACGAGGAGGTCACCGCACCTAAGCTGCAGGACCATTGCGTGCTGATATGGGAGGGCGTGGTGAAGCAGCGGAACTTCAAGAATTGGAAGGTCAGCCACACGAGGTCGGAGCAGGAGGCCAGAAAGACTTTGGCCGACAGGGGTGCGGAGCACTACTGGGAGATGCTCGCGCGCCACCGCGACCCGCGCATGGATATCTGAGGCGGCACAGACCCGGGCCGAGCGTGGCCTTCAGCGGGGAGGCAAGGATCCAGAGAAGGCGCGCGTGTGCGCGTGTGGATTCGGAGGAATGTATCGAAGCCGCCGAGGCTCGAGCCTGGAAGTCTGTATCGACATGTTCTAGAGCCAGGCAATGTTGAAAAACAAGTGCGTCATCACAGCGTGAGAGCTTCTTGGTCTCATCGAGCGGTTGCCGAGCCACCTGCTCCTTCTGATCCTCTGGCGGGCGAGGGCGAGGGTGAGGTCGATAGGGGAAAAGAAGTGAAGGGGAGAAGCGGGAGGGGGAGGAGGGGGAAGAGGAGGAGGAGGGGGAGGAGAAGGAGGAGGAGGAGGAGGAGGAGGGCAAGGAGGAGGAGGGAGGAAGGGGAACAGTGGGAGGGGGAGGCACGTTGAGGAGGAAGTGGAGGGTGCAGAAGGAGCGGGAGGGGAAGAGGGGGAGGGGCAGGAGGCGGAGGGGGATCACGGGCACGAGGAGCTGCAGGAGGGGGGATATGTTTCCTTTGGGTCTCGCATCCCAAAGGACGGGGGGGGCTGTGACGGAGAGGCGAGGCAGTAAGGGGGACAATCAGAGGGACTGTGGCTCATCCACCTGCGCTCCCCAATTCCCAAGTTGCAGGATGCAGAATCAGCGTTATGCAGTCACTGCCATCAAGGGTGGCACCCTAAGGCGGAAGAGCCCCTCCAGGTGCTTGGTGCTTGTGATTTGTGATGCTCTGCCCAATATGTTGTCTTTCCTGCGAGTCGGTTTGTTCTGATTTCGGAATTATGGTAACGGGCTGGGCTCTATGTTGGCCCTTGCTCCCGTGTCTGCAAGACTCGGCCGCACGCGTCGCCCTCATCCTGCGCTTCCCGCCTTCCTCCCTCCGCCCTCTTTCCTGCTGCTCTTCCCCTCTTCCCGCCTCCCTCCTCCGTCCTCGCTCCCCTCTCCTCTGCCGACCCTTTTCGCCGGGACACCGTTCTTGCTGGCAGTCCCTTCGGCGGCGACGGGGGGGGCGAGTAGCCCAGGGGGGAGCAACACGTGTATCCAGGGGCGCCGACGGTCCATGTGCTCGGCGAGGCTCCCCGACGAATACGTGTAATGCCCACCCCTGGGCCATTCGCCCCTGCCGTCGCCGCCGAGTCCCCGGGGCCCGTGGAGGGCCCCGGGGGAGGCCGAGAGCGGCGAAGCTAATTACATCGGGGCCTGCTTCCCGCGGGGCCCCCGCTCCTCCAAGGCGGGAACCCTGTGCTGGAGGGCACAAAAAACCCATTGGGGCTTTTCAGCAACGACCCGAAACGTATCCTGAAGGGCAGCCAGGCGGGACCTCCTTCGGAGCATAATGCGCTAACCCTCGTCGTCTTGGCCCCCCACTTCGTCGCGCCCCCCAAATCGTCGCGCTCGAGAGAGCTCCAGGGGCCGGGCGCTGAGCCGCTTTCGGACCATAGGGCAGTGTTCATAGTCCGACCCCATCGATCTTGTTCGGCATCATTTTCGGACGGCCCGATCTGATTCAATTCCGAGATTTCGACGATCCAATGCGGCCCGATGTTTGTGTGGCGACGCTGGGCCTCCTGGCTCGGCTGGTCCGGTTTGATTTCGACCCCGTGCTGACGCAGCCCGATTCGATTCCAGCTGATTTCCCGATTCGATGTTGATTGGTCCTGCCATTGACCCATCCAGCCGCGTGTCCAGAGGTCATGTTCTTCAGCCGTGTGAAGGTTCGTGGACCCTCGCGCTCGGCTGGCGCTCTCGCCCCGTTGTCTTCGGACTGCACGAAGGCGTCTGTCCGTCGCGCTCGACCTGCAGTGTCGCCCCGCTCCTTCACTTTTGGGGGTTGCTAAAGGTGCCCCTGGCCCAAGGTGCCCCCAGCTTTCCGCTCTAGTTGGGAACTCCTGGGGCTGCTGGGCCTCGTGAGGGATGCTTTGTAGGCTTCGGTGGCCTCCTTGGGAAGCCTGGGGGGCACCTTGGGCCAGGGGCACTTCTGGCAACACCCGACGCTTACCTTCTCATGCCTCCGACGCGATGCGTTCACCACGTGCGGGCCCCCGGAGGTCTGGACATGTTTCCCAGCACCAGTTCTTCATCTCGAGCCGTGTTTTGACGGTGCCAGGGCCCAGTGAGGGCTCGCCCCTCGGAGGCCGAAGATGGAGAACACTCCCCGTCGCGTTTTTTGACGAAACGAGAGGAGGTCTAGGCACCCCCCCCTCGGCCTCAATCATGCGATGCCCCACCGATCGAGGGCCGAATCTCGGAGGAATCTAGGCTCGGCAGGAAGGCTTGGCAGATGCTGCACAAGCCTGGCCGCAGCACGCCCTCGCCGAGGTGCCGCTCTCGCGGCGGCCCTCCTGCTGCGCCCCCCTGGCGGCCCGCAGCAGCCCGGGCTCAGGAGCAGGGCAGCGCCCCGCTCTGGGCGACGCTCGGGCGTGCCACCGGAAAGGGGTCGGCCTCCCCCCCGCCTCTGATGGGCTCCCGATGGCGGTGGCCCAGCGCGGCGGCGCCAAGCGCGCCCTCGGCGGCGGCGCCTGGCTCGAACGGCCACGCGCCCGCGGAGCCGGCCGCTGCCAGAGCATGCGCCGCGAGGCGGTCGCCGCGCTCGCGACCGCTCAAGCACCCCAGGGTTCCCTTTGCCTCGCTCAGCGTCTGAGCCCACTCGGCCGCCGAACGCACCCGCGATCGAGCCCACTCGGCGGCCGAGCGGGCTCAACTCCCTCGACCCTGCTGGGACTGAGCCCGCCCAGCTGCCCAGCCGGCGGCCGAACGGGGCCCAGACGCCGAACGAGGGAATCGTGGGGCAATTTCGGCGACTGCGAAGGGTGTGGTTACGCCAGGATGTGGCGATCTGCGGACTTAGGGCTCGGGGGGCACCACGTTGCCCTCGTCGGGCCTCCTCGGGGCGCGGCAGAGATCTCTGTCGAGGTCTTCGCCCCAAGGTGCGCGTTGGAAACCAGACCCCTCGGAATCGCCGAGAATTAGCCTGCCTCTTGCCGCGGCCGCCCGCCCATGCAGCGCTCGCCGGCGCGTGCCCCGCGCCTAATGCGCCGCCGAGGCGCGTCGCCGCGGCGCCTCGGCGGCAGGCGCCGCCAGCGCGACGCTGCCGCGCCCGCGCGCGCGCCGGCGGCTCGCCGGCGGAGCCGCGGCCGGCGGCCAGCGCCGACGGCTCGAGCGGGACGCTCGAGTTCGGGCTGTTCGCGGCCGCGGTCGCGCTGGTGCCCACGGGAGGGTCGAGGCACCGATGCCGCTGCCCTGCCCTCGTCTCCGCTCTCTCCTGGGCCTCTCGGGAGAGGCCATCGCCGCAGCGGTTGCATTCGCACCGAAATTCTGGGCAGAACGCACGCAGGAGAGGTCCAGGAAGTAACAGTATCGCAGCTTCGTGTGCTCGACAAGCAAGCCTATTTTTTCTGAGGTCCGCGCGCATTTCTTTGATCGGAGTTGGGCCCCTTGGCGGCATCTCCAGCGCCGATCCAAGAGATCCGCGCGAACCTCCGAGAAATGATGTTTCCTTCGGTATAGCGACGACCGTTTTGTCCCCAAGGTGCTGCCGCTGCTAGGGCCGCGCGTGCCAGACTCGTACCACCGCACCGAAGCGCTGCTCTCGGAGGTGCGGCGGGCGGCTGGAGCCCACGGGGAGGTGGCGATCCAGGTGGAGGATCGGCGGTTCAAAGATGGGGACCTGAGGTCTCGGCCTCCCACAGAGGATCCGAGTAGATCGGGTCGAAGGATCGCTCCGCATCGCCGAGGTATCGGCAATGTGGCTCGATGTGGAGCCCGACGACCTCAACGTCCATTTCGCCGAGATGCACCGCCGATGCATGGGCGATTCGGCGCGATCTTCCGACCCCATTTGCTCGGACCCCATTTGGGAGGCCTCTTTGAGGGATGAGGCCCTCAGGACGGATGGCCTCAGGCAGTCAATGTTCAGCTTGGGATTTCCTCCGTCCCATCGGGGCCCCATCTCTGAACGCCGGGAGGAGGTCCGGGATCCACTCGGCACCGGTGAGGCCGCGCCATCGTTGACGGTGGCCACGGCCTTCGACGAGAGCAGAGCGGGGCCGCCGCGTGCCCGGATGCTGGTGGTGGCCAATGAGCACGCTCGCGAGCTCGTCACGGGCGAGATCGCCCTGGGCGTCGTCGAGAGGCTGGCCAGCGCTGGGGGGCCCGAGCCTGGCAGCGCCGCGCTCCGGCTACGCGCCCTGCTGCGGCGAGGCCTCGAGATCACCGTCGTGCCCGTGGCGAGTCCCGAGGGCCGCGCGCTGGCGGAAACGTGGCGCCCGTGCCAGCGCGGCACCGCGGACGTGCCGCTGCTCTCCACCGACCTGAACCGGAACTTCCCCTTCGACTGGACGCCGGGGCTCGCCGCGAATTTCCTGAACTCGTCCCTCGAGCTCCACGGCACGGCACCGTTCTCCGCGTACCAGGCCCGTGTCATCCGGGCGGTGGCCGAGCGGCACCAGTGGGACGCCTTCGTCGACCTGCACAGCGGGGCGCGGTCGCTGAACCTGCCCTACGGCCGCCGCGCCGAGGGCAGCAGCGACCTCCAGGAGCAGCTGCGCGCACTGGAGGGCGTGCGGTCCTTCTGCCCCGACTGCCGGCAGGGGCCCGCCCGCGCCGTCATGGGCTACGACAACCCGGGGCAGCTGATGGACTGGATGTGCCCTTCTTCAGCCACGCGCAGGGGGGGGGGGGCGGTAGGCGGAGGGGGGAGGGAGTCTTAGAAGAACCTTAGAAGGCGCGGGCCGTGTCTATAGATGTAGGGGCAGCGCCTTCGAAGGAGAAGCCTCCTTCTAAGAAGCCTTCCCCCCTCCCCCTACCCCCTTTGTGCTTGCCGCCAACCTCCCGGGGGGGGGGATGGGGCCAGGGGAAGGCCAGGGTGGGGGCAGAGATCGTTCCAGAGCGTCCCAGAACGCTCTGATGGCGCTGCGCAGCGCTGAGGAGCGGCCGAGGCGTCCGAGTTACGTCTTCCAGAACCGCCAGATCTTAGAGATCCCTTGTCTGTCTCGGTCCAATGTTGTCCTGCTCTTGGCTTCGCGAGGTCCAGCGCCGGTAGGTCCAGCGCCGAGAATATTCGAATGTTTATGCCAATGCCGATGTTTCTTCTTCTGTGATGGGATGGACGCGCCTCGGGAGGAATTCGGCTGCACATCAGAGCGTGCCTGAATTTCGATGGGTGCAGGGGGGGACGAAACCCGATGCGGACCGCTACTGTTGCATCGCACGCAACGATCGGCAAGCCGCGCACCAGAGGTCACCCGTGCTTGGGGTCACCCCTGCGCGTGCCC